CCAAAGAACGATCACGCCTCTGTACGCCGCTGTGCTCCCTGAGGATCCAGAAAGTGCTCTGCTTCACATGAACACAAAGTGTGCTTTAAAACCCTCTGGGGCTTCCGGCTTCCTTTCTTTCCTGTCCCGGAACAGGAAGGCATCGTGCTGGGGAAGCGAGAATCTGATGGGATCCTGAATTGCTTCCAGTTATGGGAAACTGGCCGGAATTGACCTGGAGGGCAGTTCCCCTGCAGGGGGAGCCGGACGGTTGGGGGGAGACACACCAAGGAGAGTGCTGAAAGTCACTGAGCCCTCCCGCCCGCGGGGCTGATGTATGTATATGTATAGTGCAGGGGTAAAGGTGCCAGCGTAAATCAATCACCAGGCAGCAGGCCGCCTCTCAGCATCATGCGTCCTGTTGATGAGAAATCCCAGCTGAAGCCACAGCACTGCGTTGCCTCTGCTGGGTTATTTCAGTTTTAAGAGGTTAACGGGGAGCATGTCTACATGTATCACATTGTAGGCGGTAATTAATTGTTATTGAGACTTGGCGTGAGTGATAGGACACAGGAGTGTTTCACAGTGTGGTTGCCCTGGTGATGGCACCCCCCCCCTACCCTGAATCCAGTTCTCGTAATGCCCCTCAAAGTGCCCCCTCAAAGAGGTGGGGGGCTCCAGGGTGCAGTGCAGGGGGTGGGGGGGGGCTCATCCCATGTTTTATCCCGCGGGGGCTGGGGAAATAACAGTTCCCCGGCTATTTCGAGTCGCCATTTATCAGCAAGCAGCAGGTGCGGCCCTCGAAGACAAGTGTATTATTTACTTCCCAGGGGGCAGCAGAACTAACGCCACTCTTTCGCTGCACGCGCCGTGTTCCCCAGAAAGAAGAGGTCAAGGATTACTTCCCAGCGCTTCCTTTCGGTTGCCCGTTGACGTTCATAATTGGAAATTCACCCCTTGAGCGCTGTTCCACTTCTTAGCTCCCCCCTCCTGCACACAGACAATAATCGGTGCTTTTGAGGAGAAATGTAATAATAATAATAATAATAATAATAATAATAATAATAATAATAATAATAATAATAATAATTTCTTACACTTATATGGCGCTTTTCTGGACACTCCACTCAAAGCGCTTTACAGGTAATGGGGACTCCCCTCCACCACCACCAATGGTGGCAGCCCCTCCTGGATGATGACAAATGAAATGACAATTTGTGCAACCACGTGACACAACCCAACACCCCCACCTGTGCAGCAGCGCGGAAAAAAATCAAACCTGCAGGACCTGCATGGACGGAATTCCATGAGGACCGTGGTGTTCAGGTGTTGCGATGGAGGGGACGAAGTAACTTGACCCAGTCCTGCGTGGAGAGGACCCCTGCCCCTGCCCCTGCCCCTGTCCTTCCCGGCCTGGCCCTCCACCCCCAGGTCTAAGTGGGAAAGGGTAGAAAATGAGATAACAGAGATTTGCAAATAAGCCGTACAAGAATAAATATCAGCCTGTAAGTTGATTCCTGTGGAATGTAGAAGATCCAACAACGATACTGGGGCTAAGGGCAACAAGAGGACCTTGTGACAATCAGAACAGGAGACAGGAGACACTCCGTGACTCACAGAGCCCAGCTGGAGGTCTGGATCAGGCTCCCCAGCTGTGAAATTGGAACTGACTCTGCGGGAGTCCATGAGGAGCAGACTGATGGGCTCCTACTGCCGTCCAAATGAACAAGGCGGGCCGAGCGATTTCACCTCCTGTGTAAGTGCACTCCTGGATGTGTACACTACGTTGATTTATTCGCAGGTGAAGACTTTGGGAATTCTAGGTGAGTTTTGGGGGAATGCAGCCATGTGATGTTCTTCTGTTTTTTCTGACCAAGATTTGAGCTTTCAGATTTCTTGTATTTTCATGTTCGGAGCTAAGCATGGGATCTGAGGATCTGCGCCTGTGACTGGAAGGTTGCTGGTTCGAGTCCCACGGCCGACAGAGGAATCCTACTCCGTTAGGCCCCTGAGCAAGACCCTTAACCTCAGCTGCTCCAGGGGTGCCGTATAAATGGCTGACCCTGTGCTCTGACCCCATGCTTCAATCTCCCCATCTGTGTGCCCGTGTGTCTCATGAAGAGCAAGCTGGGGTATGCAAAAAGACACATTCCTAATGCAAGACATTGTATACGGCCAATAAAGTGACCTTACCTTATCTTCTTCCCCTTCAGGGCCAGCAGAGTCCTTGAGTCCCCCTCACCTCCAGTGTCTCCGGAGCGCTGTCAAGTCACGTAGTTCACTGGAGCCGGCGCGAGAATGTGTGTGTCATGGCCGCCGCGGTGCTTCAAAGCGGGTCACATGCTCTACATTGCTGGGGTGTCACCAGCTCTTGTCATATAGAAAACTGCGCGCAATCATTTGTCAGCTGGTGAAAGTCACGAAATGTGCAGAAGCTGCACAGGACAGATACAGGCAGCAGCATTGCTCGTGCTCCTGGACAATGCCCTTCATTGCCAATACCCTGGAATTACCCCCCAATCATATGTGAACACACATGGGATCGCTGATCTGGAGAAGCAACCTCTTGTGTTCAGGGCTTCTCACACTGGTCTGGTGCATTGGAGCACTTCAGTGTATCCAGGTCCTTGGCTGGTATAGAGATCCTGCTATTAAAAGACCAAGATAAGACTCAAAGAGCTGAGGCGTTTTTTTTGCATTAAATTAGTGCAGAGAGGAGACCTGAAATGGTCAGTTTGGGAAGCTCTGCTCCAGCTGAAGGTTATGGTGCTTTGATTTCAGTGCAGTTTAGAGCCACGTACAGTAATCTATGTATCAGCCCCTTGCCATCCCAAGCTGCCATCACTGATCAGCTCTGCCTATTCTTCAGCATTCAAGCCTGTTAAACGTCTTTCACAGCCTTCTCAGAGACAGGAGATATAACTGTGGCAGGACGGACGGATTGAACATTGCTCTTAGACGACCAGGGTGATCATTTATGTCAATGGTACCCAACCCTGGCTCTGGACAACCCCTGTTGTCCTCTGGGTTTCATTCCAGATGAGCTTGCCACGGCTTAGTTAAACCCTTCAGTACACTAATAATTAATAATAATAATAATAGCTTACACTTATATTGCGCTTTTTAGGACACTCCACTCAAAGCGCTTTACAGGTAATGGGGCCTCCCCTCCACCACCACCAGTGTGGAGCCCCACCTGGATGATGTGATGGCAGCCATAGTGCGCCAGAACGCTCCCCACACACCAGCTCTCAGTGGGGAGGAGAGCAGAGTAATGAAGCCAATTAATAATTGCTTTGTTTACATCTTTTCTGTGGATTTCTGCTGCGGCGCAGGTCAGGACAGCGCAGGCAAGAGTGCATCTGAGCTGTTGACAGCAGGGCTGAAAAAAATCCTGTTTTATACCTGGTCAGGTCCTGTTGGCGAGCGTTACCCCAAGCCCAACGTGGTTAACAAGCATCCTGCTAGTCAGGCCACAGTGTTTATTCCACGGGGGCTACTTGCAAAGCCCCTGCCCGTGCTGTCTGCTCACTTTCATGTTGCTCTAGTTCCCCTTTTATCAACCTGCAGATAAGGATTTCAACTTCTGATTTCATGAGCAGAGGGCAGCACACGTTATCTTCCGTATTCCGTGAGGCAGGAGGCTCATGTTGGTCTGTCCATTCTGCTCCAATTCTGCTCCCTGCCCAGCCTCTGTTGTCAGCAGAGACACCCCCCGCTGTTCCAGATGCCCCCCTGCCATGAGGAGAGACACCCCCCCGCTGTTCCAGATGCCCTCCTGTCATGAGGAGCGGTTTATATTTCCTGTCCTGCCGCCTGATGCATGCCTATCATTGTGTCATAATTCAAGGGGCCGCGCTGCCTTGCAGAGAGCCTCATGTGGGTTTTTTTTTTTCTTTCTTTTCCACTGTGTTTGCCAACAGAGGAACACATGACTGGCACCACACAGTTGGAGTCAGGTCAGCGGATTTACAGGGGGAGCTCCTACCCACTCAGGGAAGAGCGTTTGGGTTGAAAATGTGAACTTAACGAGGAGCTGCTCTCTCTCTCTCTCTCCGTCGCTCCAGATCAAATCTGCCTGAAAGCACCTGCTGATCACGCCGAAACCAAATCGGGTGTTGGCGCATCTCTCTGGCAGGCCCCGGGTTAGGGCCTGTGGTGAGCCACCAGCCACAGAAGGTAACTGCGCCCAACGCAGAGCTGTAAATCACAGAGCTAGAGAACGGCCAAAAAAGGAAGATAAAGATGCCTGCTTTTTTGCTCTTGCAAGTAAATTTGATCACCAGCAGTGGCAGGGTAAAGCCCAAGACGGGCCAAACAGATCCTCTGGCTCCTTTTGGCTGTTTTTAGTTTGTGTGGTGCTGCAAGGATCTCATTTCCCAGCTAAATTGTTTTAGAAAAAATGTTCGATATTTAAGAAAAAAAAAAGTCTAGTTTAGAAATATTGAATTAAAAATATCCTAGTTTTTTTTTTCTTTTTTTCGGTTTGTTAGTAGGCTGGCAACTTTCTTAAAAACATTTGTACATGGACCTTGAGAAAAAAGCTGACCCTCCCCCATCAGTCTGTCCCCCAACCGTCAAAGGCTTCTCGATTTGATTTTAAAGCTGGTTCTACTGAAAAGCTAGAGCTAAGTGAAGGACAGTCAGAGGTCCTTCTCCAGTGCCATTTCGTGCTCCTGTGAAGGTTGCTGTTGCCTGTAAAAACCCAACAAAGCTTTTTATTACTGAACCTTCAGGTCACATTGCGGTGGCCCTTATAGAAACTGCAGAAGGGGCTCCAAGATCAGTTTCCAGTCCCATGATTCCCCGGGGTCTTCCCATCAGACCCTGTGCAGGCCACATGCTGACAGTGCTCTGCAGAACCTTTCCCTGATGTAGCCACTGTCCACACAAGGCAGTCAGCGTAACAGCACGTAAATCACACAGCAAAATGGAAGTACATTTTAAATCCTTTTAATTGAATATTAAATATATACTCAGGAGGAAAAAAAAAAATCACAGAACCGTAAAACCTTCACAAATATATTCAAACAGAAATACTTTATATATTATGATATAAGCACACATAAAAAAAGGAAGTTATATTAGTCTTACATGTACGAGCTGTTAAAAAAATAACGCTGTACTAAGTGCACATAGCTGCTCACGTGTTTTTTTTCCTTTATCACATTTTGTCATGTGCGACCTTGGATTGTGTGTGAAGGTCCTTAATACCAAAGCACATATTCTTCCCACGGAGAATATCCTGTAAGGCAACATTTGTGCTATTAACAGTAGCTCCTGCCCATTGTCTTCCTGTCCGCGCACACAGGCCAGGGGGAATGGCACCACAAAGCGCTTGGTACCAGCATGAATTAAGGAGATCTGAACCAGCTGTACATCTAATGTGTTCTGTATAGCTTACAACAGTGCAAAGGAGACGCGGAGATATCCATGAGCTTGTTTCGTTTAATTACCTGAAGGCTAAAAAGACCTGATTTGCATAAGGCACTAAAAATCTGTTTTCTGCTAGCCTATTGTAAACTGGCGTAAGCGACTCTGGGCGGGACCCCTGGCATAGTCTGGCATTCCCTGGCACCGAGGAGAGACGCCCAGTTGGCAGAGGGGGCTCCAACCGCCCTGCAGACCTGTTCACAACATGAGGCACTTGCACACAACCTGGCATTGCATGAATACTGTGACCAGCCTTTTATATATGCAGTTTTTTTTTTTTAAATAAGCCAGTTCTACAAAAAGCTGTGTGCGAACACGAGTGTGCTGGGCAGGCCTGGTCCTCAGGGTGCACAACCGCCCCCCCCCACCAGAAGAACTTTCCGATCTTCATCCATAATGGCCTGATGCCACCTTTGACTTTTTCCCCCCCAAGCACGTTATATATAGAAAAGTACAACAACCTTTGAAATACAGGACCAATTGCTGGAACACTGCTAAGGTCAAACCCTGTCACCCACTCACTGGCTAGGGTCATGCCCACTTCAGCAACACCCCTTTGGGAACATGAGTCTGGACCTCTGTTTGGACCTTATAAGCCCTAATGCTGCCTCCGACTGGATTTATGGTCCTCTCCCGCACATGACAGCACCATGATGTAAGCCCCTCCCCTCTGCTCACAACCCCCCCTTTTCCCAGAATCCCACACTCTGTGTGTATCCATTTCCAGCCTTATAAGGGCCCATCTGCAGAAAAAAAGTTCCGCCCCTATACCATCTGCCACTTGGAACTCTTGATATCTTCCACAATAAAAAGGTCACTTGTTTTGTTTTGTTTTTTACAGCAAGGAGACAACGACACAAACTTGAAATAAAAGTCTTGATAGTTTCCAGCTGAAAAGGTGGTAAGAGAAGAAAATGCCCCATCACGCTCCCCCCTCCCCCTTTTTCTAAAGTAGTTTCTCCCAGGGAGGGTGGGGGGGCAGGCACGTGGATCAGTCAGCCAATCACTCAGCGCCTTCTGAAGAGGCGGTGCCACGCAGCCAGGTGGGCTCCAAAGGGGCGGAGTCAGGCAGGCCCCTGTGACGGTAACTGCAAGTGCTTTCCACTCAAGGGCTCAGAGCTGGTTTTCCTCTGCTCCTACTCCTCTTGCAATCAGAAGGGTAAAGTGTCCATGAAGATTTTGTCCACAATGGGGGGTGGTGGGACCAGGTCCTCCAGTTTCAGGTAGAAGATGCGCTGCAGGCCCTGAGTGCACAGTGTCCTCAGCTCAGGCAGTTTCCCCAGCAGTTTGGACAGGTAGTTGGGACGACCTGGATCGCTCATGGTGCTGGAGACATGGTCTTTAAGGCAGGTGATCAGGCGGTTCTGGAATTCCTCCACCCTCTTGGGCTCCTTGAGGCCGTGACGGTCTAAGGGAAACAACAAGAAGGGTTTTAGGGACAAAGGGTCAAGGTGCCTTATCCAAGAGATGAAGGTCTCATCCGTAACCAGAGCTGGTCAGAGACGACAGAAGTCTAAAGGTCAGTGTTAGCTGAGGTTCTTTGCAGAGACGTAGCGGTGTGTGTGGGATAGTGCTCACCTGCGATGATGACCAGGGCGGCCAGGCAGGAGAAGGAGGACACGTCGATGTCCATGCGGTGCAGGCTCTGGGAGAAATCCATGATGGAATCGATCCAGTCGCCGAACCCCCGCACGCACTGCGTCCGGTGCATCACCACCCCATTACAGAAGATCAGCTCGTTTTTCTCCGGGTTTGACCTGCAGGACCCAGGAGAGAGACCAGTCAATCCCCTGCAGATCTAGGCCTAATCTCTGAACAGCTGAGAACCTAATCAGTAAAACAGCTGAATCCGTTTTACTTTTTGGCATTCAACATACTGTCTCAGTTAATTCAGCTGGCCAGTGCACAACAAGTGGGTGATGCATATCCCTAGAACTGTGAAATCACTGCACCGCTAATCCTTAAAACCCGTGTTTTAAGTGTTGGGGCTGGCAAACACGACCACTTAACGAGCTCAATCAGCTCATGACTGGCTTAATGGCTTCAGGTGCTGCTGCTTTGAAGATGCCTAGAAAACCTGCAGAAACACTGATCCTGCTAGAAAAGGACTGGACATCCTGCAGACACGCTGACCCTGTGTTACACTGAGTTATGCTAGGAAACCCCTTTTGAAGCAGATTTTAGGTTGACTTTTCACCCGTTATATTACTGAATGGCTCTGTGGCTGGAAGGTTTGCCGGTTTGTATCCCGCAGCTGGCAGAGGAATCCTACTCCGTTGGGCCCCTGAGCAAGGCCCTTAACCCCAACTGCTCCAGGGGTGCTGTATAAATGGCTGACCCTGCGCTCTGACCCCCAGCTGCTCTCCCTGTCTGTGTGTCTCATTGAGAGCAAGCTGGGGTATGTGAAAAGACACATTCCTAATGCAAGACACTGCATATGGCCAATATGCAAGCGGTCAGTACAAGTTCTTCAGGATTTGTGGATACAGAGACTGCACAGCCTGGGCTCGGAGGTCAGCGGGACCAGGAGAGGACGGGAGCCGCGATGCGGACCGGGCTTGTCCATACCTGTACGCCAGCCGGAGGATGAAAAGCTCCACGAAGGCCGACTCGAGCAGCAGCTCCTGGTCCTCGGGGCAGAAGGCCGTGAAGCCCGGGATGGTCTCGGCCCATTTGCGGATCACATCCATGGAGCCCGTCAGCAGGTCGTAGAAGCGCCGGATGTCGTTGGCGTCTTCCTTCTCCAAGAGGCTGGTCACCATCTCCTGGTACTGCGAGAGGGGAGGACGGGGGTCAGAGGCTGCTGGGCCTCCAGCAGGAGGGCAGCGGCGACAGGCTGGCAGCCGTTTCCAGCGCGGCATGGCGCAAGTGCTTTCACAGGGCGTGCAAGGCCTCGGAGAGGACCGGCAAAGGCCCCGCTGTGAGGCTGCAGGCTGGTCTTTACCTGGGAGTAGTCCAGCTTCCCCACGGGGGGCTCAGCGTCGACGTGCGCCCGGACGAGGGAGGCGATGACGTTGACCGGGGGCGTGGCCGATGAGGGGTCCAGGGCGCTCTTTGGTTTGGATGGCAGACGACCCCTGCGACCTTTCAAGCTGTCGGTTCGGACAACTAAAAAGAGAGAAAGAAAATCCCGTCTTCAATAAAAATAGATCTCTCTACAATCAGCTTAGGTCTTAGGACTTAACTTGTGTTAAGGTTTTTGGAGAAGATAAGCTTTCTGTTTTCCCTGAATGCTTAACCACACTTTCAGCCTTTGTTTCTTTTACATGTATTTTTTTTAAAAGCATCTTGATCATCCACATTACTCTAGATCCAGGCCTGCGAATGGGCTGATCACAGACACCGGGAATCTGTATGACAGGTTTCCATCCTGAAAAGAAACAGCCCTATTCCTGTGGTGTTCTGGTTTTTGGAGAGTATAAGCTTTCAGTTTTCCCTAAATGCCAAACCACAATTTCACTTTTTTTCCTCTTACATGTATTTTCTTTTTAAATGTCTTGATCATCCATATTATTCTAGATCCAGGGCTGGGAATGGGCTGATCAGAGATATATCCAGAATCTGCAGAACGGGTTCCCATTAAGAAATGAAACAGCCCCGTTCCCCATGCACAGCCATTCAAAGAAAGCAATGTGTTTTTTTCACATGCAGGTGGAGCCTGGAGTGCATTGCACTTCCTGATAGCGCTGTTGAACAGGTTCTTCTGGAGTGTGCAGCCAGTACCCTCTGCCCCGCCTTGCCTCGCCCCACCTCACCTTCCTTCACCATGCCCACAGCCAGGCACTTCTGGAATCGGCAGAACTGGCACCGGTTTCGCCGCCGCTTGTCCACAGGGCAGTCCTTGTTGGCCAGGCACACGTATTTGGCGTTTTTTTGCACAGTACGCTGTGAAAGACACAAGGCACAAGAGGTGAGATGGATGAGCTGCTGCTGTCGGAGCTCTGCTGCACGGGCTGGAGAAATCCACCGTGCACGCTGACCTGGATGACTGGCAAGGAGAGCAGGGAAAGGCAAAGGTCACAGGTCAGAAGGTCAGAGGTTACAGGACCTCAATGATTACGACAGGAGGATGGCCAGGACTCATGCAAGTGCAGAGCAACGTGCTTGATTAAAAAAACTGATGTTCAGGACAGATGACAACAACCAAGCCTTTCACCCCAGCTGTTCTGAAGCCCAATCATTTGCCATTTCTCACAGCTATATAACCCTAACCCCCCCACCCCATCTCAGTTCATGCGTCCCTCCTCCAACACAGCTCCCCCTTAGCAGCTGTCCACGTGCTATGTGCTAATAATATTATTCATTCTTTTTTTAAAAAC